GGGGGGCTGAGGCGAACTCATAGTACACCAGCAATGCCCTTACGTTTAGAAAAGCACGCACTGCCATTGCATCTAAGTTCTCGTATACATTGTATACATTGTGTAGGTGTGATATCTATGCAGGAGTTTCTCATCAACTTCCAAGTCGGTTTCTTCGCACTAACCACTGGGTCTGCGAAACGACGCGTGTAGTGTAAACTTAAACAAAATAAACAAATACAGAAACAGAAATAGAACAACTTTACAGCAAGAGGCTGTCGTCGAAGGAAAAAAATATGTCTTTGCCAATTAAAACGTTAAATACCCAAAACTGCAAAATAAAACAATTAAAAATTCTCAGTCCTGTAAACGACACATATTTGTGACTTGTAATGTGTTAATTCCAACAAAAGAAAACAATTTTAGAGAGCGATGCCCTGCCTTCTAAACGATCTGTTAAGAAAATGTGTTACACCCCCATCAATACAATTTAGATCATCTGGGGGGGCAGGCTCCTTCGACTCTTCCTGTCAGAGCTAACACCGACAGACAGGGAAACAACGTCCTATCAGACAGACATAGATGCTCAATTTAAAAGAAAACCCTTCCTCACATGAGAATCAAACTCACGTCCTCTGCGCTTGACGGCAAAGTACCTTACCGCTACGCTACACAAACATCTACTCCCCCCCCCCCCTTTAAAAAAAAATTCTACAACGATAACAAAGAAAACCAAACTTCCCCTGTTTACCTGGAGCAGCTGTCGTCGCTGGGGCCTGTGTGGGCTCGGCAACGCACACTCTGAACACAGCTTTACAGTTTCCGGTAACCGTGAAAGTGGAGCCTTCAAAAGAGTACCCGTCATCGGCGTCCTGTTCGCAAGACACTGGACTTTCGTAGCTTCCGTAGCCGCCACTCTTAGCCCCCAGCAGTTTGACAACCGTAACGGACACGATATTTCCTCCTTCTAGTGTCTGTTCACTGGGATGGTTCACTACCAGCCTCTGGCAAGATGGCTCTGTAAATGCCCACGGTGTAAAAGTTTAATAAATAGAACAATTAAAAATCAATTTCATTCTATTGATACCTTTGGGGAAAATGGGTTACAATGGAAGTGCATACACCTGCAAGTACTTAGAAACAAACATATTAAACACACAATATACACATCTAAAAGTATTTAATCAATGTCATCAAGGGGGCTCTCGTGGTGTAGAGGCACCGGTGTTCGCCTCTCAGTCAATAAGTCCTACGTTCGAGACCTGCCGCCGACGGAAACATTTCCTCTCTAAATTATTCTCCTTTTGCCTCCTTTCTTGCTCCCTAACCATGTTCTGTCGTCTGCTTTCGTCTCCACTTCGGCCCCCACCCTTTTTTGCTCCCCCCTGTGGGCTCTTGACTCTTTCTGCTACCTTTCTACTTCTTCTCTTTGGCTCAATCTTACTTCTTCTGTCTTTCATCAACACCTCTGATCTTTGAGAAGGTAAGATCCAACATCTAACCTTCTCGGATAAGTGTGAAAAAAATTACGGTGCGCAATTTGCGCTTGTCAAATATACCTTGGTGGTCCTAAAATCGATAAGAGGAGTAGACTTCGGCCACCATCCGCGCAAAGTTAAAATTAATTCCTACTCAATTGAAAATGCTTATGGTGTTTCACAAGCCCATAATAATACCGAAGGCATTTGCAAGCGCGACAAACACTTAACCCAAAAAAAACAACCCCAACACAACAAGATAACAAACTACACTGGCCAACAAAATTAAACTTTTTCAGCATCATGGACTTGATGTAAATCGAGGTCAATGAAAACAATAATGGCATCAGTTTTGCTCTAAGTGTAAAGTTGATGGGTTTTTTCCTCTATTGAATAGCCACTTTTTCGGTATACAATTGAATTAGCAATATTAAATAAAAATGCCACCCTTGTTCGGAGCAAGAAAATAAAACCATCAAAAAGCGTGGCACATCAAAGCTTCTTTTCATTTATATGAATCACGTCAATCTTCAATTTCACAATAGCAGTCAGAAAAACATCAATAAATAGTATTTTATATACTTTAATTGGAGGCAGCACATGCATTATAGAAACTTTCGTTTTTATGGATTTTCTGGAGTGCGCTTTGTCTGTGCGCACATATCTACTATCCAAATTGGCCCGAGAACTGGCAGGTATGCCTGAGGCTCCGCAATCTTACAATCGACATATTGACCCGTGGATTGACGAGTATTGGGTATGAAAAGCTGAACCTATGAAGTGCCCCTTACAGCAGGATCACACAGAATGAAATATTATTCCACAGTAACAAGAAAAACCAGTTCAACGACATAAAAAAGAACCATCACGTTTTGGATGAAATGATAATTAATTATGCCCAAAATTTAAAACAGTCCACGCCATAAGGTCCGTGCTCTACACGAAACCAAAACATAGAAGACAAAACACCAGTGAGCATATTTAATGTTATTTCCAAGTTTTGCGTGGTAGGCCTACTTGTGATTTCTCTGTTCTCCAATCTGTTTGAAACTATCGCAATAAAATATTGTTTATTACAGCGCACAGAGGCAAAATTTATTTCCATTCATTTGATATGCAATACGTTTCCATCCCACCCACGTTGATACATCTCAAAACAAACATGTTAATACTTTCTTTGATTTCACAAAATTTTGCCACAACTGATTTTTAACAGATGTACTCGGGCGACGCTTTCTGTATGTGAAATATATGTCAGATGATGCAGAATTTATTTAGCTTTAAATTAACATGCTGCGTGTTTGGGTGAATACTTTTCAAGTTTCTTTTGGGTGGCTCTGTATAATCTATTTGTGTAGTAAGTGTTGTAACACTCTTACTAAAACTAAACCTAAACCTGACTTAATAATACAGATATTTAACACGGGCGTCGGTATCGCAGCACATTAGAATGAAAACGCTTTCAATGCAAAGTTAACTTTAAATTCAATTCATTTTCAATTTGAACATAATTATAAACTGCCCCCCGAGGCCTGACTTGGTGCCAGAGATGTGTAGATCTAAGTTACTTTCAAAATGGTCAACTTAGCGGTAATTGTTATGCTTCAAGGAAAGAAAACCACAAACAGGAACATTGATGTACAAAAACTGATTCTGGTATGTGCTCAACTTTCGGAAACTTATTACCATGGAAAAAATAAATTGTCTAGATGTTCAGATGTAACAAGCCCAAAAGTGTTATTTTTTAAATTGCAGTTTCTTAATCCAGGTTATCGTTTGCATATGTTCAAGAAAGATTGTGTCCAAATTATTTTTTTAAAAGCAGAAAGAACAATTGTTAAAAGAATGAAAACTTTAAAACTTGTCTTCCTGGATTTAATATACAGGGTGTCTAAAAAATCAACCCACATAATACAGGGCAATAACCTGGTCCTCTCTATCCTGATTTCAACAAAAATTATGAAAAATTAAATTCAATTATGGGGACGTCAAGTTTGTAATCATAAAGAAAATCAACCAGCGTCTTTCAAAAATATCAAATCTTAAAAACTTGAGCCAAAATTGGGCAAAACGCAAAACTTTACTTTAAGCATTCAGCTACAGTGGCGAGATTGGCCAGTTCTCGTTTCAGGGCTAGAAGTGCAAATCCAAGACAATCACATTAGTTGGGTATCCCATCGTGCTGAAAATGTTTAGAGGACGTTTGGTGAGGAGAAGGTGTTATGCTCGGCAATCTTACAGTCGATGTTAGACAGAATCCATCCAAGCTGTAGATCGTCGTGTGTTTGTATGTGCGTATGTACGAATGTGTGTATGTGTGTATGTATGTGTGTATGTGTGTGTGGGTGCGTGCGCGCGTGAGTATGTGTGTGCACGCGTATGTAATAGTAGTAATACTATGCGTCTATAAAATTGATTTGTAAATCCATAATATGTTTAATGTTAAGCGCATAGAGCATTGCATAAGTGGATATGCGCTATATAAATGCAATCCATTATTATTATTATTATT